CTTGGGCCATCTTGGGCGCCTCTTGGGCCGTCTTGGGGCCCTCTTGGGCTGTCCTGGGGCCCTCTGGGAAGCTTCTTGGGCCGTCTTGGGGCGGTCTTGGGCGCCTCTTGGGCCGTCCTGTAACGTCGGAAAGCCCAAAAGACAACTTTGTTGAAAATGTACGTTTTACGAAGGGAATGGGCCAATTTTTGCGTCTAGGGGCCCTCTTGGGACGCATGTTGGAGGCTTCTTGGGGCCTCTTGGGGGCGTCCTTGGACGTCTGGAGGCCATCTTCAGCATCTCGGAGCCCTCTTGGAGGCCTCTTGGAAGTTTCTTGGGCCGTCTTGGGCGCTTCTTGGGCCGTCTTGTCTGACTGGGGAGGCCTCCGGCAAGCCCCGACGAGCCTCCGGCCCCCCCGGGGTGCACATTTGCGGTCGGGGTCCCGGCCCCGGGCCCCCGGACCCGGTGCGCCGATATATGTATACAAGAAATGTCATTTTCTATTGTTTTTTGCAAGGGAAAGCGGACTACAACAAAACAACCGGATCCTGTACACACCCTCTTTTCTGAGGCTTCCTCACGAAAATGATGAAAATGTAGCTGCGGCCTAGGCGGCGCAGGGGGGGCGCGCACCAGGGGGCCCAACAATAATTATTCTTTAGAATAAATAATGTTCAACAACAACAACAAAACAACAACAACAACAACAACAACAACAACAACAACAACAACAACAATCAGTTTAAGACTGCTCGCCCTGATCTGCTCGAGTGTCCAATAACGCGTATTTCCCAAACCCTCGATACCCGCCCTCTTCGTCTTCGAGCGAACCCCTGTTGGGGGGTATACCTTTCTTCCCTGCAGGCCGGGCCCCGGCAAGCGGCGGGGCGGCCGCGGACCGTCGGCCTGGCCAGCGGCAGCGCTGATCGGCGGGGCGGCCGCGGACCGTCGACCCGACCCCAAGAGGGACGGACAGGGGACCGACCACGACGACGACGTCGACGACGGCGGCGACGACGACGACGACGGCGACGACGAGCGAAAGCGAGAGCGAAAGAGAACGACAGCAGGGCCACAAGGACATGAAGTAGGCCACGAAGGGCGACAGCGGGGACACGAAGGGAATGCGTATGGGGCCACGAAGAGCGCGAACGAGCGGGGGCCACGAAGGGCATACGTATACTGGGCCGCGGAGGGCAAGGACGGGGCCACTGAGGGCAGCAACGGGGCCACGAAGGGCAGCGAGGGGGCCACGAAGGGCGACAGCGGGACCACGAAGGGCAGGAAGGGGGCCACGGAGGGCGACAACGGGGTCACGAAAGGCATGCGCATGGGGCCACGACGGGCGCGAACGATCGGGGGCCACGAAGGGCAGATCATGCGGGGCCACAGAAGGCAACGACGGGGCCACTGAAGGTAGCAACTGAGCCACGTAGGACAGTGAGGGGACCATAAACGGCGACAGCGGGGCCACGAAGGGCATGCACATGGGACCATCACGGGCGCGAACGAACGAAGGCCACGAAGGGCATACGTATACTGGGCCGCAGAGGGCAAGTTCGGGGCCACTGAGGGCAGCAACGGGGCCACGAAGGGCAGCGAGGGGGCCACGAAGGGCGACACGGGGCCACGAAGGGCATGCATATGGGGCCACCATGGGCGCGAACGAGCGGGGGCCACGAAGGGCATACATATATGGGGCCACGAAAAGCAGCGAGGGGGCCACAAAGGGCAGCGAGGGGGCCGCGAAGGGCTGCAACGGGGACACGAAGGGTTGCGACGGGGCCACGAAGGGCAGCGAGGGGGCCACGAAGGGCTGCAACGGGTCCACGAAACAAAGCGAGGGGGCCACGAAGGGCTGCAACTGGGCCACGAAGGGCAGCGAGGAGGCCACCAGAGGCTGCAACGGGGCCGCGAAGGGCTGCGAGGGGGCCACGAAGTGCTGCAACGGGTCCACGAAACAAAGCGAGGGGGCCACGAAGGGCTGCAACGGGGCCACGAAGGGCGGCGAGACCCTGATTCTTAGGTAATCTGTGAGGGGGTCCTAAACGTGAGCGCGACTCCTGGGTGCCTGGGTGTCGGGAGCGCGGCGCTTGAGTAAATTGCTAGAATTTCCGACGCAAGGACGCTATTCTTCAGTAAATTGCAAGCAAGTCTCCAGCGAGAGCGAGTAAGGTAGTCCCAAGCGAGAGCGCGATTCCTGAATAAAATGCAAGGAAGTCTCGGGCGGGAGCGGGGGTCCTGGCTAAAGTGTGAGGAAGCCTCAGGCGGGAGCCGTTGTTGTAACCCTGGGGCCAACGACACAGTTTGACGCTCAAGACTTTCCCTGATAAATAACAGGGTGCGAGCCCCGGGAAGGGCACTTCAATCGAGAATAACAAGGGATCAACAATAATGATTCTTCAAAAATGAAAGTTCAACAACAACAACAACAACAACAACAACAACAACAACCAACAACCAACACAACCACCAAAACCACAATATCAACAACAATCAGTGTAACACCGATCGCTCTCTGCTCGCGTGCCACTCAACAAGTATATCCCAAACCCTCGATACCCGCCCTCTTCGTTTTCGATCGTATCCCCTTTGGGGCATATCTGTCTTACCTGCAACGTGTATTTCGTGCAGCACCTAAGGCAGGAGAAGAAAGGACGGATGGAAGGAAGGGGCAAGGGGGAGAGAGAAGGATGGAACACGAGAGAGAATAGCAGGAGGGGGGCTAGGAGCAAAAAACACGTGGAAGAAACAAACAAGCATCGGGCGGGTAGACCCTAACAGGCGGGCCCAGGCGGCCAGGTCGAGCAGGCGGGTTGCTGAAGCGTGCGTCCTGCATAAATCACGAGGCAACCTTGAGCGACAGCGGCGTTTCCAAAGTAAATCCCGTGCGGAAATCCAGAGCCAGAGCGTGATTCCTGAGTGTCGAGGGTACGGCGCCTGAATCAATTGCGATGAAGTCCCAAAGACAGCGCGAGTCCTGAGTGTCGAGAGCGAGACGCCTGATTAATTAACAATGAAGTCACCATCGAGAGCACGTTTCTTCGATTGATTGCATGGAAGTCCCTAGCCAGATCCCGATTCCTCAATAAACTGCAAAGAAATCCGCCGATCCGGCGTATAGAGTTTAAGAAGTCTAAGCTGAAGCTCTGCTTCAGCATGAGCTCTAGCTCTGCTTGGGAGGGGGGGTGACCTCATTAACTGACGAATTCAGTGCTCGGCACCCCCTCGCCCCCTGCCAAACCCCCCCCCTCGATTTCGCCCCCCCCCCGGAGTTTTGCTCTGCAAGGGTGAGGGCAGGAAAGGAGGGGGGTGCTCTGCAAGGGGGGGGGGGCGCAAGGGGGGGTGGGCCCTCTCAGGCGGGAGTGGGAGCTGCAGGTAAAGGCGGGAGGGTCCGCTTTGCAGATGGGCGCTCTGCAAGGGGAGGGGGGGGGGGACAGGAGAGAGGGGGGGGGGACAGGAGAGAGGGGGGGGAGAGGGAGGGGGGAGGGGAGGGGGGGGCAGGAGAGGGGGGGGGGGACAGGAGAAGGGGGGGGGGCAGGAGAGGGGGGGGGACAGGAGAGAAGGGGGGGCAGGAGGGGGAGGGGGGGGTGGGGGGAGCGGGATCATCACCATCTCCATCACCATCACCATCACCATCACCATCGTCACATCACCATCATCAACATCATCAACATCACCGCCACATCATCATCATCATCATCATCATCATCATCATCATCATCATCATCATCATCATCATCATCATCATCATCATCATCATCATCATCATCATCATCATCATCATCATCATCATCATCATCATCATCATCATCATCATCATCATCATCATCATCATCATCATCATCATCATCATCATCATCATCATCATCATCATCATCATCATCATCATCATCATCATCATCATCATCATCATCATCATCATCATCATCATCATCATCAACATCAACATCATCATCATAATCATCGGGAGCGCCCCGGATCGGCGGCACTGGCCGCAGGCCACTACAATATCAGGCGGGAGGCCAGGGGCACAGTTTGAGCAGGAAGACTTCCCCGGCAACAACACACAGCGAGAACTGGGAGGGGCACCTCAATCAAAAAGCTACGCGAATGCGTGAGTTCTGCAAAATTCGCCCGGAAATCTCGGACGAAAGTGCGATCCCTGAGAAAAGTTTGAGGAAGTCCCAGGCGAGAGCGCGATTCCTGATTGGCGAGGGCCTGGGGCTTGGATAAGTTGTAAGGAAGTCCCTAGCGAGAGCGCGGTCCATCAGTAAATTGCAAGGAAGTATCGGGTGGGAGCCGTTGTTGTTGTTGCTGTAAGCTGGGGGCCGGGGGCACAGTTTGAGCAGGAAGACTTTCCCTTATAAAAACAGGGTGCGAACCCCGGGAGGGACACTTCGATTGAAACACACATATGTTACCGGAGGGGGGATCAACCATATTTACTCTTCAGCATTGAGAGCTCATCAACAACAACCACCACCACAACAACAACGACAACAACAGCAACAACACAACAATCATTTTAAGATGGTTCGCTCTTATCTGCTCGAGTATCATTATTCAGCGCGCATTTCCCGAACCCTCGATACCAGCCCTCTTCGTCTTCGGTCACACAACTTTTGGTTGGTATCTATTTATTCGTGAGTTCTGCGTGATTAGCCAGGAAGTTTCCAGCGAAGGCGACTCCTAAGTAAATTTGAGGAAGTCCCCAGCGAACGCGCGATTCCTGAATGGCAAGAGCGCGGCGCATAAGTAAATTGAGGAGAAATCTCAGGCAGGAGCGCGATTCTTGAGCAGATTGCGAGGAAGTCTCAAGCGGGAGCGGGGGACCGGAGTAGATTCCGAGGAAGTATCAGACGGGAGCCGCTGTTGTTGCAAACTGTGGGCCAGGGGCACAGCTTGAGGAGGAAGACTTTCCCTGATAAAAAAAAACGGGTGCGACCGCCGGGATGGGCACTTCAATTGAAAAATACCATGTGCACTGGAGGGGGGGATTAACAATGATTGGTGTTTTTTTTCTGCGATGCCTCTGATTGGCTCACAAAGGCTGAAGTTCCGAGAAAATTGCCATAATTGAGGGCGCCTCACCGCTGCTTGGAAAAAGTGCTGGGGAATCCATCCCTGCTACAGCTACGGCTACGGCCCCGCACTCGCGGCGCCGCGAAGGCACGGCGAAGGGGGCACCGAGGCGCGAGGCTGAGGCACACGCATGTATTTTTTTACTGACAGAGACTGACCGCAAGCGAACCAGCCTTCGTTTGAAAAACAGCTAGCCAGCGCAGGGGGCGCATTCGACCCGACCCCACGCACCTAGGGATGGGTCGCCGTCGTCCTCCTCTACGCTGGCAATGGGAAAGCCAAAGAGGCCGTCCCACAAGGCCAGATCGGCCTGGAAAGCGGGCGGCGGAGAGCACTCCTGTCCCGTCCACCCCACCCCCACCCCCCCACTCCCAGTCCCGACAGGAGGAGAAAGAGCAGGCAGAGGCGGCAGTTCGGCCGACTCCAGCAGCCTTCGCTTCCGCAGCAAAATCGGAGGGCCCACAAAATCGCGGGCCCGTAAAGGATGGCAGCCTCGCATGAGGTTGCGCAGCCTGTAGTATCTCGAGTCTCTCACCAGGACGCCCTGCCTACGATTCATCGGTAAGCAATCCTGCGAAAGACCCTGGCTCTTCTTTTCCGAAAATGCCCCGCACAGAGAGCAGAACAGGAAAGGCCCCGCGCGGTGAAGTGCGTGGGAGCTGGACCTGTCGTCACATCGAAGCTGGCGAAGCACCGAGCGTGTCCTCGCTGACCGAAGGCACACCATGCATCGGAACCTGTGCGCAACCACCGTCACTGCAGGGTCGAAACGCGAGTGCGGCTTCGGGGGACCAAGTCCCCCCTCAATCGTGCCTATGGCACGGCCGAGTATTTGCGCTTGGGCGTCACGTGGCGTGATGGTGCCGATCCGAGCGACCAGCCTGGTACAGAACTGGGCTACAAGGCGGATGGCGCTGCGCGACGCGCCATGCGCAGATCGCAGCTGGAGGGAATCACTATGCATGGCGGCACCCCATTTAGCCGACTGATCAGCCTGGGCATTGCCGACACGCTGCCATTCTGAAATCCGTCCCTCTGCTACGGCAGAGGCAGGAGTATGCGCTTTGACGTGAGAAACCTCCACCGACTCACCCCCACGGTCAGACACAAGCCTCCAAACCTCCCTCCAAAGTAAGGCAAGCGGGTCACTCGCAGCGGTGCCCGCTCCAACGCCTTGGCGCCAGACATCCACGAGCGGCTTGCAATCCGTATAAAACTTCATCTGAGCTCCCATATACCTCAGCGCCATCAAGAAACTGAAAAGCTCAGCCGCTGGCACAGATTGAATGAGACAGGGCAGAGGGCCATGCAGGCGAGCAACCACTCGCTTGCTGTCGTCAAGCGAACAGAGTCCCCATCCGCAGCGCCGTAAGCGAGAGAAACTTCCGTGCCTCCCCGACCCATCGCCGAACACGTGCACGTCGAGCAGCAAGTCGGGAGACCGCACCGTCCCACACGACTCGCTCCTCGAGGCAGGGGCTCGGGAAGAGCCAAGCAGGGTCAGGGACAAGAAAGCGCGTGAAAAGCAAGGTATCCACCGCAGCAGCTCGAGCCATGTCTAGCATTTGACCAGCCATGGCACTGCCAGCTCTGTAATCCCGACGGAACTCGGTATGCAGGGGGCAATCGTAGAATCGGTGCCAGGTAGATCCAGCACTCTGACAGGCAAGGCAGCTCGGGTTGACGGCTCCACCTGACTCGTACAGTCGCTCCTGCGACCAGAAACCTCCTGCAAACAGGCACCGCAGCAGTCCCTGATGCCTTGGGGTCCAGTCAGGGCCTCGGACAGAATGAGGCTGGAGGAGGGACCTCAGGGGCTCCACGAGAGGAGGATGAGGGCAGGGCGAGACCCACGAGGGATGCTTCGCGAGAACCTGGCGCCACACCCACCGCTCGGTGGCCTCATCAACTAACCTACCTCCATCCTTCGGGGAAATCTGTTCAATTGCAAGAGGACCTCGGTGGGTCTTCCAATGAAAAGGGTCAGATACAGACCAACCCAACCGCAAAATTGTCGCAACTAGCGCAGAAGCAGGTCCGCGAATGTCAGACCAAACTTGAGACACAGGAACTCTAGACAGGCGTGTCCATGCTCCACTCAGAAGTCGCGCCATATCTGCTCTGGGGGCCCATCCGTCCCACAGCGCCTGCAGCCAGAGGAAGATCGGGCTCCTGTTGCACTCGAAGGCGGGGTCGACCTGCGGCCCAGCCAGCATGAGGTCCAATGAGAGCGACCTGCCCGTGTGCCTATAGACCATGCCCGCGCGCGCCAGTTGCCTGGCGCTCAGTAGGTGCGTGTTGCTGATGCCGTGAACTCCCACTGCCCAGAGCATCCCAGGCTTGAGGCCAGTCTGCACCAGCTTGATCGTCTTGCCCCCAGCTTTCGCGAGCCGCTTATACCGAGGGATCCGAGACGCCATCCTGCCCAGCCGCTGTGCACGAACCGAATGAGAAAGCCGATTTCCACCGCCAAAGTCCAGCCCCAGGTTCCGAACCGAGCGTGTGAGGAACCTCGACGAGGACGGGTTGACTTTCCTAAACACCTTCCGTATGCCTTGGCCGATGACCACCTGGTGCTTCTTGGGCAGGGAGAGAGTCAAGCCGATCTGCGTAAGCTCAGCCGCCAATAGGTCCTCGGCCCCCTTGAGTTCCCTGGCGACTTCCCATGCCTCGCCAATACGTTGCAACTGCAGATCATCTACCACGACCGCCACCTCGACATTCACGAAGCGAAGAGAGACGGCATCCACTGGCGACAAGAGCACCAGACGCAGTAGGGAAGTCGCGCAGCTGCAGCCCGCGACAATCGTGCGGTGCGTCACCACCACCTGCGTGGCGATGTTCTGGAAGAGCACCATTCTGTCGAGGCAATATGATGCGAGCAGGAAGCGAAGGGTCTTACCTCGGAACTTGTGCCGACGGGCTGCTGCAGCTAAAACATGGTGGGGCACGTGCTCATATGCTTTGACCAGGTCGAGCAGGGTTGTCCCTGCCGCTCTGCCCTGGTCTCTGGCCAACTCCGCCTTGAAACTCTGCTTCCAAACGCAAATGTCACATGAGGCCCCTGAGTCACCATACCAGAACCCGCGAGGGTTTGCCTTTTCCCAAGGGCCAGCAACTTTCCATCGGGCCCAGCGGGACCACAACCGAAGAGGCGTCGCGAAGATCCCAATAGGACGATCTCCCCCTTCAGGCGGCGGCTTCGGTAGAAGAGCAATAAGCAGCAGAGCCCAGCACCTCGGAATGTGAACCAGGCGCTGCATCTCGGCCCAGATCCGAAGGAAAACCGCGACAGCGCCGTCGTCGAGGAAGGACCAGTGACGGGGATGCAGGCCACAGACTCCGATGGCCGTGTGCGTGCTGTAGGTCCTGGTAAGGGCTAAGAGCTCCTCATGGGTGGGGGCCTCCAGCTCTGGCTCGTCATCGCACCAACCAAAATCAGGCTCTGGGAAAACTTGTCCGACACCCCAATGCTGATGCCACTTTTGAGCCCGAAGATCGGCTTCAGCAGCAATCCCCAGAGGCTCACCAGACGGCCCCGAGAAACAAGAGAGCCCAGATGCAGCCCACTTCGGAACCTCTTTGGTGAACCGGTGGCCCAGTCGAGCGCTCCCAGATAACGCATCTTGAACCCACTCACGCCAGGCTCGGGCCCGCTCCGAGGCCGCATGATGCTCGTGCTGAAGGGCCCACTTTCGGACCTGCCAGATCAACTCCTGGAGCTCCGAGACGTTGGCAGGGTTGACGGCCAGAACCCGAACTCGCCAAGAAGCCCAATGCTTGCAATCGGTGAAGGGGGACAGGTAGTTCACGAGCTTCCGCAAGAGGATCCCCGCTTGTTTGATCCCCCCCAAGGTGGGCGCAGGCCCATGCCAGAGATACACGATGTCCTGGAGTCGCCTTTCCAAGACACGCCACATACGGCCCTCCCCAATAGCCCTGGGGTGAGTGGAGGCAGGGGGGCCGAGCAGAGGGACTTGCACCACCTTGGGGGGGCCTCCTCGGCCTCGGTATCGTGGATCCCCATCGACATGAAATACGCGAGAAAGCGCCACCTCAGCCCTTTGAACCCACAGAGAAGTGACAGCATCCAAACGGTCCTTGGTACAATCCCCCTGGGAGAGCTGATCACGCAAGTCGTCCCACTCCAGGGGGCGAGGGTCGCATCCAACAGGGCGGTGGAGAGGGAACGCCGACGGCTTCTTGAGCCTGGGAATTGTCACCTGCCGCGGGTGGCCAGACATGCTCAACACCACAGGGCGGTGCGGTCTGGTACTGGTAGACCATGTCGCAACTGAGCAGCTCACCACAAACTGCTTGAGCGAGGAGGAGAGGACAAAGTAATCGATGGACGACCGAGACGTACCCAACTGACAGGTCCAATTCGAGACGTCAGAGACCACCTCAGCCTGAAGATCCCCAATCCAACCAGACTCGACCAGTTGCTCCGCTGAAAACTGAAAATCTCCACCCAGAATAAACGGCATGCCATACGCCCTCAGTGTGAACTGCTGCATGAAAGGAAGAGGAGGAGGAAGAAGAGGAGGAGGAGGTGGAAGAGGAGGCAGGGGGAGGCGGAGGAGAAAGAGGGGAAAGATGCGCGGTGAGCATCCACGCGGCCTGCCGGAACGCCATGCTCTTCTTTTCGGGCAGGCTGGCATAACGACCGCCGCAGAACTGAGGGAACGAACGGAAGAGCCGCAACAAGAGCTCAGAAAAGCTGCGGTCACGGCACCCCGTTCCGCACCATGGCTTACACAAGCCTGTGGGACGGATCACTGAACAAGTCGAGTGACGTTACTGAAACTGTCCTGGGGCTGTCCCATGAGTGCTCCATGACGTTCTCATCACATTTCCAGGAATTCACGTTTGCCAAGCAACTGATGATGGATGCTGCTTGCTCGATTGACGCGATGTCGCATAGCCTGGGCGAACAAAACAGAATTGCACAGCGGCGTCACCAAAACTTTGCCGAACTCTTGGCATAAAAAGAGGGCGCCACACGACTCTTTGCCGCGGGACCCCCCGATCAACATACGCTGTTCTGTTGTGGATGCCATGACAATGGACACTCAAACAGTCCGATTCGCTAGCGCAGGAGCAACAGGGCCACACGCAGCCGGCAAATGTTGCAAGAGTGGGACCTGCCTTGAAAAAGAAGAAGAACATCGCCACACGGCGCACTAGCAGGGTGAAATCAGCAGGGCCACTCTGCAAGTGCGGAGTGCTAGTAGGAAGCAAGGCCAAGGACGAGCGTCTCGCTGAAAGACGAAGCTTTTGAGCCTCGAGTCACGATGGCATCGAGCTCCGTTCCGCAAGAGATGGCCTCGATCAGGGCTACCACCTCCGCTGAACTAGTGTCATCGGCTGCCACTAAATCGAATCACACGAATTGCCTGTACTGGCATTGTTGCACAACTCTACGACGCCGCCACAAAAGAAACACTCCCTCACCACGTCGAGGTACGACGCGCTGCGACTGGCGGCCGGGTCCTCTCGCCCTAGAGCCCCGCACTCCTTGCACTGGCCGCTCACTCCCCTGTCGCGCATGTCCAGACATGCTCGGCCTTCCAGCTCATCGCACACGACCTTGAGCTGCCGAGCGCCTGCGTGAAAGAAGCAGCATGCCCCTGGCGGCATCTCAATGTTGCAGTGCATGATGACGTCGATCAGCATGAGCAGCTGGGTCTTGCGCGGAGTGCGCTGAAATGCTGGCAGCGCCAACGGCTGCGAGGAATCGGCTTCTGGGGATTGCGTGGTCCCTGTGCCCCCGTTGTTGACCCCGTCTTCTGGCACCGGCGAGAGGTGCCTAGAACGTTGAAACGACGACTCCTCTGCAAAGTCGGCGGCGGCGGAAGGTGGCATTGGAACGCTGCACGCGGACGCCGCGGCCGCGGCCACCTTGTGCGTGGGAGTGCTGATGATGCCGCGCATGCGCTGCAGCATCGCGGCGGAGTCTGCCAGGTCAACGGCGGGAGCGGCGCGGTCGCCGTCGCCGAGGCGGGCGCTGCCCTCCCCACCGTGCAGGACGGCCAGGCGCGCGTGCACCTGCGTCATGCGCGGCCTGACACTGGGGTCCACCTGGGTGCACTCCTCGACAAGTGGCCGGTAAGCTGCAGCGTCCCGGCCGGCGTGCCCCCACTGCAGCTCTGGCAGCTCGGCGCTCTTGAGGAACTGCCGCAGCTTGCTGCGGGACACGTTCTCGATCGGGAACCTGCCGGTGAGCACGAAGAACACCAGCCTGCCAAACGAGAAGACGTCTGCGGAGCTGTTGGGGGCCCTGACGCGGTTCCCGACGAGCTCTGGGGCAACCCACCGCAGCGTGCCGCCCAGAACCCTGGCGTGCCGGGTGCACACGCGCGCGAGCCCGAAGTCCAGGAGCTTGGCGCGGTGGCTGCACGGGGCTCTCGAGGGCTCGACCAGGACGTTGGTGTCCTTCAGATCCCCGTGGACGATGCGTGGCGTGCGGGTGTGCAGGTACCGCAGGGCGCAGCTCATGTCGAGAAGAACCTGCGATCGGGCAGCATCGCTCGGACCTCTCTGGTCCATAGGCGATGCGCGCCCAGAGTCTGGAGACGAGCCCGACCAGATGAAGTGCCTCAGCTGCACGCCGTCGACCAACTCGAGCACCAGAGCGAGATCCCCGTGGTTCGTGTCCAGGCAGGCGCCGTACAGGAACACGATGTTGGGGTGCCGCAGGCGCCGCAGTATGCGGAGCTCGTTGCAGAGCTGCAGGAGCTGGGCGGGGCTGTTCAGCCCGCTCCGCGTCTTGCGCATCTTCACCGCCACCGGGGTGCCCTGGTAGCAGCCGGAGAAGACGACGCCGAAGGATCCCGCGCCGAGCACCCTCGCCGCCTCGATCTCGAGCTCGCCCGCCGCCACGAGCCACTGCTCCCTCGCGCCGATCTGGGCGATATGCTGGAGGTCCCCTGGCTCCATGCTGACGGCGGAGTTGAAGGCGTGGCCCGAATCGGTGGTCGACGGCACGACGGACTCCCCTCCGCAGGAGGATGCCGACTCGGGCTGGGCGGCCCCGATCACCCGGGCAACCTGCGAGAGCTCGAACTCGCTCTGGAAGCGGAGGCTCTTCTCGGCGAGGAAGCTGGAGAACAAGAGCCGCTCGTGCTGCTCCAAGGTTCGCTTCCCGACACTGGCAACGTAGACCAGAGCCGCAAGGAAGACAAGATTGACGAATGGTAGATCTTCTGGGCTGAACAGTAGTCCTAGCGACGCGTAGCGGAGCACACCCACCACCTGCACTGGGACGAGGACAAACCACCGTAGCGGAAGCATCATGTGTGCAGCGGTGATGATCCCGTCTACAAACAGTAAAGAGGACGAGTCGGTGAAGTGACGATCAGGCCACAGCGCGTAGCAATCATACCCCTGGACCTTAGCCAAGTAGTACGGATCAATGAACGCGTTCACAAGCAGCGCCTCCACTAGAAGCGCCACAACAAGAAACTCCCGCTCCACAAAACCTATGCGTCCGTTGATGTGTCGTGTTTGAAAGCAGCAGGCGACCACAAAATACTGTACTGCACAACCTATGAGGATGTACATGGCCTCCTTCTCCACCTGCGCGGCCGCAGGGGTTGGACAAGACTCATAGAGATTACAATTGAAACCAAGAGCTGTGCAGGCCAGAACCACGCCAATCATACTGAGGCAGGCCATGTTGAACGCAAGCTTCTCCGCGTGAGCCTGGATGAAGCCTGTCTCGGTGCCGCCGTCTTCAAATCGCAGCGACAACCAGAGCGTTGCCTTGATATCAGCCGAAGAAGCCATCAAGGTAAGAGGGGGGAGGGGCCTGCGCCGATGCGGCGCGTGGACCCCGGGCAGGGGGTTGGCAGGCAGGGCGCCCTCTGGAACGCGAGCGGACCCCGAGTGGCTTGAGCCAAAATGGTTACGGAGGATTAACAATGATTAGTCTTCAGAAATAAAAAATCAACAACAACCATAACAACAACAACAACAACAACAACAACAACAACAACAACAACAACAACAACAACAACAACAACAACAATCCTGCTATGACTGTTCGCTCTTGTCTGCTCGCGGGCCACGCAACACGTATTTCCCAAACCCGCGATACCCGCCCTCTTCGTCTTCGATCGTGCCCCCTTGGGGGCATCGATCTTTCTTACCTGTAACGCGTATTTCGTGCAGCACCTAAGGCAGGCGAAGAGAGGACGGATGGAAGGAAGGGACAAGGGGGAGAGAGGAGGATGGAACACGAGACAGAATGGCAGGAGGGGGCTTAGGAACAAAAAGCACGCGGCAGAACCAGACGGGCAGGTCGGGCGGGCAGACCCTAGAGGGCGGGCCAGGAAGGCGAGCCCAAGCGGTCAGGTCTTGCTGAAGCGAGATTCATGCATGAATCGCGAAGAAGTCTCGAGCGATCGCGCGATCCCCAAATGAACCGTGAGGAAATACACAGCGCGAGCGTGATTCCCGAGTGTCGAGGGCGCGGCGTGAATAAATTGCGAGGACGTCCCACGCGAGAGCGCGATGCCTGCATAAACTGTGAGAACATCCCGCACGAGAGCGGCATTTGGGAATACATTGTGCGGAAATGTCAAGCGGAAGCTGGTGTTATTGTAGGCCCGGGGCAAGGGGCCCAGTTTGTTGGCACCTCGCTCTCTCTCTCTCTCTCTTTCTCTCTCTCTCTCTCTCTCTCTCTCTCTCTCTCTCTCTCTCTCTCTCTCTCTCTCTCTCTCTATATATATATATATAAAAAAAGCTGGGTGCGAGCACTGGGAAAAGCATTTGAATCTAAAAAATACAATGGTTACCGGGGGGGTGAACAAACATTCTTCTTTGGAACCGTAAAATTAACAACCTCCACAACAACAATAAGAATAACCACAACAACAACAAAAACAACCACAATAATAACAACAACAACAACAACAACAACAATTACTAGCACGTGGGGACACTCCGTTCTCACCAGTGCCAGGGTTTTCATAGGAGGCGGGCAATACCCCCACTTTGTGGGGGGGCCGGTTCAAGCTCTACCAAATTTCCAAACGACTCTTCGCCACCACCCACACCCAGCTTCCCGCCCTATGACGTTCGGACACTTCACTTCGTGGCATGCGGACGACCGTGGCTACTATTCAGGGCCCCGCGGCCGACGACGACGGCGTGCGCGCGCGAAGAAAAAACGAATGTGTCCCGCATGGTATTATTTGACAGGGATGATGGCCCTGGCAGGTGCGCAACCGTTGTTGCAGAAGTTCGAAAAAGTTGCTCGCAAAAGCCCGTTTGACAGAAATGTTTAAAAAGTGTTGGGTTTCCTACGAATCCGCAAGAGCGCGCGGGATGAAATGTTGACAATTTTTTTTGAAAAACCATTGGTTTTTTGATGTTTTTATGTTAAAATCGCTACGAAAACTAAGGTTTTGGAAGGATTTCGTCTTGCGCGCGCGAATGTCCACTTTACCTTATTTTTTGCAAGGGATTCTTGAAGTTTGGATATGTTAGAACAAGAAATGTCAACTTTAGCTTATTTTTTGCAAGGGAAAACCGATCGTAACAACACAACCGGATCCGGACCAACCCGTTTTGCCTGAGACTTCCTCACGAAAATGATGAAAATGAGGCTGCGGCCTAGGCGCGGCGGGGGGGTCGTGCACCAGGGGCCCCAACAATAATTATTCTTTAGAAGAAATAATGTTCAACAACAACAACAACAACAACAACAACAGCAGCAACAACAACAACAATTATTTTAAGACCGTTCACCCTTATATGCTCGAGTGTCCAATAACGCGTATTCCCCAAACCCTCGATACCCGCCCTCTTCGTCTTCGATCGAACCCCACTTGGGGGATATAGCTTTCTTCCCTGCAGGCCGGGCCCCGGCAAGCGGCGGGGCGGCCGCGGACCGTCGGCCTGGCCAGCGCAGCACTGATCGGCGGGGCGGCCGCGGACCGTCGACCCGACCCCAAGAGCGACGGACAGGGGACCGACCACGACGACGACGACGACGACGACGACGACGACGACGACGACGACGACGACGTCGAAGACGACGGCGACGACGACGACGACGACGACGGCGACGACGAGCGAAAGCGAGAGCGAGAGAGAACGACAGCAGGGCAACGAAGGGCACGAAGTAGGCCACGAAGGGCGACAGCGGGGACACGAAGGGAATGCGTATGGGGCCACGAAGAGCGGGGGCCACGAAGTGCAGATAATGAAAGGGCCACAAAAGGCAACTATGGGACCAATGAGGGTAGCAACTGGGCCACGTAGGACAGTGAGGGGGCCACAAACGGCGACAGCGGGGCCACGAAGGTCACGCACATGGGGCCACAACGGGCGCGACTCCTGGGTGCCTGGGTGTCGGGAGCGCGGCGCTTAGGCAAATTGCAAGAAATTCCAACGCAAGGCCATTCTTCAGTAAGTCGCAAGCCAATCTCCAGCGAGAGCGCGACTCCAGAGCGCAAGGAGAGCGATTCCTGAATAAATTGTAAGGAAGTCCAAAGCGAGAGCGAGATTCCTGAATAAAATGCGAGAAAGTCTCGGGCGGGAGCGGGGGTCCTGGCTAAATTGTAAAGAATTCTCATGCGGGAGCCGTTGTTGTTGTAACCCGGGGGCCAGGGGCCCAGTTTGAGCAGGAACATTTTCCCTGTCAAAAAAACAGTGCGCGAGCGTCGAGGGGCACTTTTTGATTGAGAAAAACCAGTATGCACCGGTGGGGGGGATCAGCAATAATTATTCTTCAGAAATGAGAATTCAACACCAACAGCAACAACAACAACAACAATCACTTTACCCGAACGCTCAGTGTTCTCACCAGTGCCAGGGTTTTCATGCGACGCCAGCCAATACCCCCACTTTGTGGGGGGGCAGTGCAAGCTCTACCAAATATCCACACGACTCTTCGCCACCACCCACACCCAGCTTCCCGCCCTATGACGTTCGGACACTTCACTTCGTGGCCTGCGGACGACCGTGGCTACTACACTGGCGTGGAGTACACACCCACAGAAGTTGTTAAGCCTACGTTCGTACACCCACAGAAGTTGTTAAGCCTTGTTAACCCACAGAAGTTGTTAAGCCTTCCACAGAACATCTGTTGCATATGATGCATACGGTACATGACACACATGATACACATGATACGTACTCACAAGATAGTTGATCACATCTTTAGGGCAAATTCCTGAGGTTGTCTCGATGGTTGTCCCGATGGTTGTCCTGATGGTTGTGGTTGTCCCGATCGTTGTCCCGATGATTGTCCCGATGGTCGTCCTGATGGTTGTGCTTGTCCCGATCGTCGTCCCGATGACTGTCCCGATGATTGTCCCGATGGTTGTCCCGATGGTTGTTCCGATGGTTGCCCCGACGGTTGCCCCGATGGCTGTGAGCGATGCCGGATCCTCACGCCCCCCGCCGGAGGAGGAGGAGGAGGAGGAGCAGGACAAGGAGGAAAGGAGAGAAGAGAGAGGAGGGGCGGGAACGGCGCTTGCACGCCCACCCACCGTCTTTTCCCCGCCGCGGCTCTAAAGAGACGAGTTCGTGTGCTCGTCATCTTCTGGCATACGCCCGTCCCTGATGGCACGGATGGGGCGCAATGCTGCCAGCTGGGCTCCTGGCAGAAATACATCAGGGGCCAAGTGTCCAAGCATGGTGCCGATACGCCTCCTCACGGATACATCGCCCGTGCGTGCGAGGGGCGCCAATACCGCCAGGACGCCCTGGACATGCGCCGGCATACGCAGATCCACCTGGTAATCCATGACATTGCCATACTGGGACTGCCCGCAAGAACGCCATACTGGCATGTGCCACCAATGGTCCTGCTTCGGGAAATAGGTGATACCATCGTTGACGTCGTGGGAGGCATTCCACAGAGCCATAGATTCTCGGCGGCCGAGGGCGCAACCTATGGCGCAACCGCAAGGGATTGTGGCCCCTGGCAGGCGCGCGAACCCCGTTGCAAGAGCGTGCGAAAGTAGCTCGCGCGAGCTCATGTAACATAAATGTTGGAAAACCATTGGTTGTTTTAGGATTCGGACAGCGCGCGCGGGTAGAAATTTTGAAAAGTCGTGCAGGTGTTTTTCGAGGACCTACGGTGCGATTCGTGTGATTTTATGATGCGCGGTGCTAAAATTCTTAAGAAGCCCAATGGTTTTTGGAGATTTCGGCGTGCGCGCGCGAAGAAAAAACGAATGTGTCCCGCATGGTATTATTTGACAGGGATGATGGCCCTGGCAGGTGCGCAACCGTTGTCGCAGAAGTTCGAAAAAGTTGCTCGCAAAAGCCCGTTTGACAGAAATGTTTAAAAAGTGTTGGGTTTCCTACGAATCCGCAAGAGCGCGCGGGATGAGATTTTGACAATTTTTTTGAAAACCATTGGTTTTTTGATGTTTTTATGTTAAAATCGCTGCGAACACTAAGGTTTTGGAAGGATTTCGTCTTGCGCGCGCGAATGTCCACTTTACCTTATTTTTTGCAAGGGATTCTTGAAATTTGATTATATTAGAACAAGAAATGTCATTTTCTATTGTTTTTTGCAAGGGAAAGCGGATTACAACAAAACAACCGGATCCTGTACACACCCTCTTTTCTGAGGCTTCCTCACGAAAATGATGAAAATGTAGCTGCGGCCTAGGCGGCGCAGGGGGGGCGCGCACCAGGGGGCCCAACAATAATTATTCTTTAGAATAAATAATGTTCAACAACAACAGCAGCAACAGAAACAGCAACAGCAACAACAACCACAACGACAGCAGCAGCAGCAACAACAACAACAACAACAAACAACAAACAACAAACAACAAACAACAAACAACATACAACAAACACAACAACTGCAGCAACAACAACACCAACAACAACAACAGCAACAAATACAAAAACAACAACAACAACCACAACAACAAC